TTCAATTGCCATATCTAAGCACCGGACAACTGATGGAGTAAATTCTTTTTCTAATCGTGCCACAATTTTCTTTAATACACTACCTGCCGAGTGGCGCATACACCACCATACCTCTACATTTGCAAACCAACTCAGGGATCTTTTTAAAGACCCTGTGGCGTTTAAGAAGTATTTTGACCTTCTTTTTGGAATCTGTTGAGTTTCTCGATGATCTTGATAGTTCTTGTACTAAGATTGAAGTTGACTTGGTGTTTGATTACTGTACTGCTTGATGTCTGAATTCCAATTTTTTTCTATTTTTTCTTTTCTTTTCCTTTCCTTATCCCGTTATCGGCCCTTTTAAGAGTTGTGTGTATCACTGTTGAGGCATCCGATGGTAAATAAAATAAATACTACTACTAAATACTACTTCAACAGGAAACAGAACAGATTTTTCTTATTGAAAATGGAAAAATTTCATGTATCGACGCCCCTCCAAAAAGCAATTCATGCGACACCGAACATATCAGTGACCCCCCCCCCCCACAATTCTTTTTGGACAGTCAACATAATCACTACCCAAGGGACAAATTCCCAACTTTCCATGTGTTTTTAATTTTTGGAGTTTGGTGGTCTGAGCCTCCTTAATTTGCGACCTTGAAACGGCTACAAGAATGGCGAACGGACCTCATCTTATGTTGAGTATGAATTAGACCCAATATCCTCCAGACACAATTCACAACGGGACAGGAAGGTGGAAGGACATTTATTAGGGTAGACGAAGAGACGGAGACAAAGACGAACTACTACGACTACATTATGATTATTGACGAGAGCGAGATTACTGAAGAGAGAGAGAGAGAGAGAGAGCTCGACTGAGAAACAACGCAAAGTAAAGGGCCTGGTTAGCTATGGCAAACATGGGCGCGCAAGTGCCTACCCAGGCCAACGGAACGAAAGGTGAGTATGACGTAGTACGGGTGCATGCAGGCCGGTCAGCTTAGGAAAGGTTGTAGGTAAGATTGTACGGGAGGAGGTACCTAACATACCTCCCCTGAGCAAAAAAAGAACCACGGCCTCGCGGGAAATATTAAGACGATGAGAAAACACACATACACACACACAACGCACGGATCTCACAAAAGTGCTATACTGTACTACATGTTACATGCACTACAGTTTGTTCTGCTTCGCATGGCTAAACAGCTTAGTTATGCACTTTTTGCAACCAGAATGATAGAGCGTGGCTCACCAACGGACCCCTAATATTGATGGCCGGAAACATTCGCACACACACACACACACACACAAAAAAAAATCACGAAATAAATAAAGAGTATAATAGCCCCCCCCCCTCTCTCTCTCTCTCTCTCTCTCTCCTCAACCATTCTACCTAACCTTCTCTTGTCTTTATCGCTAAATCACCCCCTTCTTTTAGGCTATGGTGCGCAAGCTCACGTTAACGCCGAGACCATAGGTCGGTGTTGTGGGCTTGCCTCACCAGCACAGGCTTGCTTTGCAGCCCCTACTCTCCCTGCTGTTTTGTTATTGTATACTCTGTTGTCTTCTCCCCTTCTGACGAGTAGGTTGTGTACTTATTAAAAAAAAATGTAGACATGGCCAGACGAGTTAATTTTGAATAATAAAAATCCTTTAAAATTCCATTTTCTTTTCGACTCTCTCGTACACACCACAACAACAACAACAATAGAACTGCAGGGTCGCAGCAACAGCAGGGTCGCAGCAACAAGGAAAGGACTGCAGATGTTCAAAGAAAAGGTCAACACCCACCTGCGCCTTACCCGCTGGGGGTGGGCAACGGACAGGCTATGAATCAAAGAAAAAAGACGAAAAAAGCTCTAACTCTGTTCCCTCCTCCATTCACTTCGTTGACTCTCTGATAACTTCTTATTGTGCATACTTTCCCCCGTAATCCCCAGTTATCTCCCTCCCCCCCCCCCCTGCGTATTTTCTGTAATCTTTTGCTTTTGTGGAGCGCTTGGGTTGCAATGAAGCCGAGACCCTATGGTCGGTCAAGCTGCACCTGCCTCTCCCCACTCCTTCCATTCCATATGTCCCATCGCTGCCCTGCTGCTTTGTGCCGTCAAATGGTGTGTTTTTTGTAAAAAAGAAAAGAAGAAAAAGAACAGCTGCTCCAAGAACAAAAAGAACGCCCCTGTACAGCAGCAGTGCAAGAACAAAAAGAACAAAAAGAACACTGTCTTCAGACCAACATGCACCTTCATGCACCTTCATGTGCATGCTGCAACTCCGCACTGTGCAGCCAGTGCGTACTGCACTCCCAGCACAGTCCGTGAACTCTGGACTGTGCACCCGCGTTTCGAAGAGAACAACATTTCTTGTTTACTTCGTTGGTATTATCCAACAAGAAATGAGGCATACTTCGTTGTTGTCTGGCCATGTCTGCATCTATTATACTGTTAATTGCACTCATAAAATTGCTTTCTCCGCGCCGACTCTTGAAATAAATAAACTGAAAATAAATTTGACGAAGTAGGACGCACGAAAGAGAGAGAGAGAGAGAGAGAGAGAGAGAGAGAGGGAGGGGGGGGGGGGGAGAGGAGGGAGAGTGAGAAGGGGGGGGGAGGGGAGGGAGAGAGAGAGATATCGAGCCAGAGATCGATCAGTATGTGAGAGTAGCTGACCGAGTTACTGCTCCGCTGCTACGAGGTTGAAAACTAGACGAGACTGACGACGAGACGAATGCCGGGCGGTAGAGCAAGAGGGTCATGGGTTCCGAGCAATGGTCGGGCGCCAATGTTGAGTATGGATTAGACCCAAAATTCTCCAGGCACAATTCACAACGGGACAGGTAGGTGGAACGACATTTATTACGGTAGACGAACAGATGGAGACAAAGACGAACTGCGACTACATTATGATTATTGACGAGAGCGAGATTATTGAAGAGAGAGATCTCGACTGAGAAACAACGCAATATAAAGGGTCTGGTTAGCTATGGCAAACATGCGCGCGCAAGTAGCTACCCAGGCCAACGGAATGAAAGGTGAGTATGACGTAGTACGGGTGCATGCAGGCCGGCCAGCTTAGGAAAGGTTGTAGGTAAGATTGTACGGGAGGAGGTACCTAACATTTAGCTTCAATTTATGAAAATTTAGGATGAGTCTTGGTTTGAAATTTTGACAAAGTCTGTCTACCGGCACCGACGATCACCGGCGCGAAGGGGTCACAAACCACTTTTGGTCAAAATTGTACGGGATCGGCGCCAGGGCAAATCGCAAGAGTTGGAGAGTGTCCAACTTTGCCGGCGGTCCCTAGCAATATTTTACCGTATGATTTTGTTATGACTGCACTGGTTCACATTATCGGAATGCGCCGGGATAAGTTGCCAGAGGCCCACTCCCGGTGACTCCCGGCGCGTACCGGCGATATGTGAACCAACACTTTGAGCTTTGTCATCTAACCAGGGCTTGCTGGAGAGCCCGGTCAACCGGGTAACGCGCCCGGCTGGGGACCTGCACGACCTGGCTGAACAGATAATACCGGGTCCAGTCTGACCCGGCTGAAAAATGTCTCAAACTGACAATGGATTCCTAAAATACCGGTATTTTACGACTCGCGGACCCCATCTGTTGCAAATCTAGCGCAACCGTACACACTACACTCTACAGACTACAGTATACAAGCGACAGAAACTCGGCTAGGGTCAACTTACTGGGGTCAACTGGTTCGAGCGCGATCTGGCCAGCGGCGAGCAGGAAGTCAGGACATTCAAAGTCGATGGGGCAGGCAGTCAAAAGCGTAACTTTGGCTATAGCTTTTGACGCAGTTGCAAGTTTTCAGCCGACTGGTGATTTGGACGATGGAGCCCGCAGCGAAGAGTAAAAAACTCACGCTTTGAGAAGTTTCCAAGACTCTTGGAAGAAAGGTCGGCCCTTGCTGGACTACGACCATGCCAGTCTATCCATGTCATGCGCTTTGTGCAAGACGCATTTCCAAAGGAAGACGAGTGGCGGTGGATTTGGTTGGGATGCGTGGTTGAAAGGTAAGAACTCACTGCTTCAACTACGACAAGGCTATGGCTGCATGGCATTCTGAGGTGACTGGGCGCACTACGACTGCAACGTTAATCCCGTCTGAACGGAAGGACCTGGCCCGCACACCCAGAGCAGCAGCGGCAGCAGCAACACCAGTAGCAGCAACAGCGCCAGCAGCAACAGCAGCGCCAGCAGCAGCTGCCAGTAGCGCCAGCAGCAGCAGCACCAGCAGCAGCAGTTGCAACTCCACCAGTTCTCCAGTCTGCTGAAGCCTTTCAGCACATGGTGCAGCAGATGCCAGTCCGAGGCAGTCGGCTTGGCCATGCAGGTGATGCAGTGGCAGCAAGCAGCCACTCCACAAGGTGCTGCAGGCACCCTCCAGTGCTCTATTATGTTACTGCTTTGCATTCTTTACATAATGTCGTTTACCTTCTACGTTTGCGGACTTTGATAGTTCGCCTTGTTCTCTAAAATTTCCGATTTCCGGTAATAAATTCGCCTTTCTGTTTTCCTGCGTTCTGAGCAGGCTTTTTGGTTGTTTTTCTGCAGGATGATCTGACCCGGCTTGACCCGGCTGGCCTGCATGCGCCAGGTACACTCTGACTGGGCTGAGTTGAATGTCAAGAGCAGGCCCTGCTAACGATTCTTCACCAAGGAGTAAATGCGATGCTTTTGCTCGAAAGCCCAGGTCTTCAAACAACGTTGATCCGCAATTTGTAATGATCTGAAAATATTTTAGTGTGCTGCAAATTATTTATGATAACGGCCGCCGTGGGTCGAGTTTTGTATTGCTGGTGGTGAGAGTGTCAAAATTGAGATGCGCCTTGCTACATTGGCTTCTTCTTGTCCTGGTCTGTCTAAAAAAACAATGGATCAAGAAAATCCATCACATACGGAACTTTGAGCCGGTGATCTCATCACATTGCAAATGCCGACAATTCAGTGTAACAGATGTGGAAAGTGTGAATGGCTGCACGGCATATTCCAAGATAGGTGACTTACAGAGTTTTTGTTGTATTCGGTATTCCACCCGGCACCATTGTTAATCCGCGAGAGGCGCAATCTACAGTGTAACTAGGTGCACCAACACACGAACATTGCGCTGGACAACTCATCACTGTAGTACCGGTGAGTACATAGTAGCAGATGACCAATGACAGTACAGTGTGGATTGACATCTGTTATAAACAGAACACAAAGATGTTGGCCGTAGCCATCATCACATTCGCTCTCGTGTTACTGGGTTCTTGGCAACAAACAAACAACAAACATGTTTAGCACCGCTGGATTAGTCATATCATCTTTAACCACATCTGGAAACCAATGAGGCCAATAATGCTGACTGCGAGGGTGTTAGTCCTAAGTTAAATAATTCAGCGTCATGTGTCACACATAGATCCAGACCACATGCTTTTCCACTAATCTACCAGCACTGAAACATCCATGCCCTAGTCCTCTCTTGTAGTGAAATCGCCAGGATCCGCGACACGCTGGCGACAGCACCAGGGGACGAGAAATACGAGTCATGAACTGATCCTCGGCAACAAATCAACAATGACGTCAACAGTCGCGCAAGATATCATGCTCTCTGAAGCCCTTTATGTACGGAAAATGTACGCCGACTAAATTTGATCTCGACTCACGTCAAATTCCATAACTCTCGGGGCTATGACTTTGGTTTCCTTTTGACGATTTTTTCAATCTTGGGCTTCCTGGAAAGCTCGTTGCAAGAGGAGCCTACACTTGCCATTACGAATGTCAAAACTCTCGCGCTATATCCCAGTGTCTTAGTTGCCACGCCAATAATCCAAGTCGTCTTGCCATTTCGCTCTCAGCCTTGCTCGTAATGTAACAGGTAGCCGAGTGGTAGGCGAGGTGCAATTAACAAGACTTAGTTTTATTCTTCTCTTAGGTACACACCTGGGATATAATTATTAGTTAACGAAGAAGCGGCAAATAAATGGAACTTTCTCTCCGGTGCACACCTGGAGGTTGAATAGCTCGTTATTATCAAAATCTAATCAAAACAGAAATGCGCAGCCGCTTTAATGCAGCAGACGCCGTACACTTACATACGGAGACACACTAAATATACATCAGGCAAAGAGTACTAGTTCCGTACTACTTCCGTACTACTTCCGTATTGGTCGGGCAGGGATACCACAGTAACAACTAATTATTACTTCAAAAAGTTCACAAACTGCCACTAGTCCGTATGCCATTTTGAACGTGTTTCACCGTCACTACATGCCCAGAATGATGGGGAAATCCCTCATTCAAATCTCCGCACGCTGCTATTGCGCGACATTCGCCACGATTCGACTTTCAGGCTTCGTAACTCTGGAACCACACATCGAGGCGCTTCCACTATTGTTTCAATGGACAGCTGGGAATATTTTTTTCGACCCACATGTATGAATTTTAGTTTTTGGAAATATAACAGGACTGACTGAGTTACGATCTATTGAAATGTTGTACACAAGGGGGACTAATTTATTCATGGTATCATGAGGTGTAGATTATTAAAATCTAAAACTAATACAAGAAACACTGATATTCGAAAGATATCACTATTGGAGGCGTGATTACATGAGCAGCAAGCAGTGTGCAATGTTTGTGAGTACTCGTAGATCTGCTGTACTCAAGCATTTGGTGTCCAACCCCCAGTGTTTGCAATTGTACGATGATTCCTGCTTCAGTGTGGTGTGCCATGCTAGTACAAGTAGTTTTCGTCTACTCTCCGTGTTTGAAGCCATGTTTATTCGTACTCGTGATCCAGATTTATGCAAACAGAAAGAATTCGTTACAGCACTCACACTATTCACTTAACATACCAACACTCACATACCAACACTCATATAATTGTACCTTTCTCACCTGCATTTCTCCAATCTACACTTGCTATCGCACTGCTCGCTGCTCACGTAATCACGCCTCCAATAGTGCTAGCTTTAAAATATCAGTGCTTCTTGTATTAGTTTTAGATCTAACAAAGGAAACTGTGACATTTTGACTATTTTAGGACAAATTGCTTCCAAAACTTATTGAAACTTGGATGTTGAGCCAATAATAAATGTAGAAGGGAAGAGGACATATGGATACGAGTTAAGAGTAACTCTCCATCACTGTAACCAGATACTATAATTATATAGTCAGAAAGTGCAACAACTAGGCACAATTGGAAGGCTGTCGGTTAGCGCTACGGAGATGTGTTGAAACTAGGTCCTCTTGCCCAACCCTTTGTGCCCCACGCAAGTTCTTCACACCCTTCCCCTCATTGCATTACATATTCTTCTATATCTATTGGTCATATTAATATTTGTAGTTTGCGAAATAAGCTCTTCGTGTTGTCCAAGCTTGTCCGGGTCCATAACTTAGACATTTTAGCAGTATCAGAAACATGGCTCGACAACAGCATCTCAGACTCAGAAGTCGACATCCGGGGGTTCTCAATGCACCGTCTCGACAGAAAGTGCAATTACAACTGCTCCTGTACAAATGGAACACCTTGCCAAAAGCGCGGCGGTGTAGTGATTTACAGCAGGTTGCAACTTGGGTTTAAGCGGATGTTGATTCAGCACATCGACCTGGAAATGGTTTGGTTGCGTTCCAAAAAACGAGAAGCAGGTGAATCATTCCTCATTGGCTGTCTCTACAGGCCACCGTCCGCACCAGCGGCTTTTTGGCAATCTTTACAGCAAGTCATGTATGACATTCAGGGCGAAGATCTCATTCTGATGGGCGACTTAAATGTTGATTTCTTGTCCCCTCAAACGCATCATTTTGACAATTTGAACACATACCTGCTACTTCCCCTTGATCTGAAGAATATGATTACGCACCCTACACGGATCACACCTACATCTAAAACACTTCTCGACTGTGTACTAACGAACATGGATTGTGTTGAGCACGGAAGCGTTCACTCCTGTGAGTTCACCGATCATGAGTTTGTTCACACCAGTATTATTTTTCCGAAGTCAATTCCAACACAAGGACAAATATATCGATCCCGCCGCCGTGATTACAGTAAGGCCTCTGCCTCTGATCTCTCTCATTTATTGTCAATTTCTGATCTCGGATCCTTCTCGTCCCCGTCGGTCGATGTAATGCTAGAAGAGTGGCAAGGAAAATTTGAAGACGCCTTGGATGTGGTTGCACCCTACATAATATCACGGAGACAATCCCCTGGAAAAAGGAAGAAGTGCCCATTCATGACACCGGAATTACTAGCTCTCATTAGGCGACGTAAAACCGTCTACAGAAAGTACCGCTCGTCTGACTGCAGTAGTACGGTTCTACAGAAGGAGTTCAAAGTTTTGCGCAGCAAATGCAATAACCTTTATCGCCAACTCCGAAATGCCCACTTCCGCTCCATCTGTGACGATTACCGGCGAGATCCTAGGCGTCTTTGGAGCACCATCAACTCAGTCACCCGGCGCACAAACCCTAGAACTGAGCCTCTCGTCCAGGCAGATACCTTGAACAGGTATTTCCATAGTATTGTGTCAGATCCGAACCCGGCTTATGTTGTTCCAAGTGGTACCTCAAGACCGTGTGACTTGCACGAGTTTCGCCCTATTTCTGAGGATGAGGTACTTCGGCACCTTCAGAAACTCGACGGTACGAAAGCGCCTGGGCCAGATGGTCTCCTCCCGAGCATCCTGAAGGCCGTTGCACCAGTTATCGCCTTCTCCCTCACCCTAATATTTAATACCTCTTTGTGCACTGCTGTGTTCCCGACACAATTCAAGTTGGCTAATGTCACGCCGATATTGAAATCCCGTATGGGCGATCCTACTTCTCCTTCGAATTATCGTCCTGTGTCACTCACGTCGATTCTGGCTAAGACTCTGGAACGCCTGGTTCTAAATCAGGTATGTGACAGTTTGACCATCGAAAATCACCTCCATGATCACCAATTTGGGTTCCGACCAGCTCGCTCCACGACACAACTGCTCACACTTGCTGTAAATGATTGGAAACTGGCCCAGGACCGCGGAGAGACTACCAGTGTAGCCTTTGTCGACCTCAGCAAGGCGTTTGATCGCGTCCAGCATCAACAGTTACTCATTGCGCTCCATGGCATGGGTGTTCATGCAAGCGCCCTGCGTTGGTTTGCGTCGTACCTCGCCGGGAGATCTCAGCGTGTCGTCACGCCAGCCAGCCAGTCCTCAAGTCTTGCAGTGTCTCGAGGAGTTCCTCAGGGAAGTATTTTAGGCCCTACCCTCTTTAATGTCTACCTGAGGGACCTTCCCCGGCTTGCGGAGACAGTGGGTTCAAAATTACTGATGTTCGCAGATGACAAGACAGTCTACTCTAGTGATCCGTCGAAGGCGCGTTCCGAAGCCAAGTTGTCATCGGCACTGGAGATACTAAACAACCACCTTGGCTCCATTGGTATGCAGATAAATACCGACAAAACCGTTGTCATGCAAATCCATCCCAAACGTGCCACAGGGAGTCAGCAACAACAACAAAGGCAACAACTGCAAATCACCTTGTCAAATGTTACGCTAGGGGAAGTGGAAAGCACCAGATGCTTAGGAGTCGTTGTTGACAATAAGCTGTCTTTTGACCAACACATTAACAATGTCGTCCGGAAAGCCTCACGGAAGATCGGTGTACTGCGTCGATCTTTCCGCCAGATGAACCTGTTTGCCCGCCGTACTTTCGTTGTCGGTGTTATTCAGCCTGATCTAGAATATGCTCTCCCTGTATACCTTTCGTTTATATCCGCTAAAAATAGAAACAAGCTAGCCTCACTCCACCGGCGCGCTGTACGAGTTGCTTGTGGCGCATCACCCCAAGCTAATATCACGCCACTTCTTCACCACCTCAATGTTTCCTCTTTCCAATATCGATCAGTATTTTTGTTCCTTGTATTCATTTTCCACTGTTACTGTATTAAGCCGGCTGTTTGCTTGCAGTCCCTCTTTCCCATCTGTACGTCTACCCGAACCACTCGCGGCTCTACAACTCATAACATGAGTATCAATCGCTATAGATCTATGTCTGGCTTTCTGTCCTTTTCAAGTAAATCGGCTCTTGTTTGGAATTATTTACCAGACGACCTGAAGTCCTGCACTACTATCGCAGATTTCCGCGTCAAATTGGCTATTTGGCTAAAAGACAGCTTAACTCTTAATCATTGTTGTGATTTGCTTTCAAGCAATGT